ATATTCCTAGCATTGCTTTCATGTACACGTGTTATGACCCATGTTGATTCATCTCTAACTGATCTTTACCCTGGTTACTGATCCCCTTCTCATGATAACCTCTATAGCTTTAAGATTTCTGTATTAGCTCCTCTGGAGTGGGACAGCAAACACTTTCATGTTTTTGGTTTTAAAAGACCGTAATACTTCCTATTTCTACTAACAGAGCAAGAATTCAGAACATTTTTGCTTTCTTCCTCTAGGTGTTAAAGCCTGGAAACTCAATTAGATTCCTGTGTCAGAGGTTTGGTTAAACTTCTACCAATGCAAGGCATTTGCTAGGCCTAGCAAACATTAGGCCCTGAGTTTAAACCCCAATACGCCAAAAAAATAAATAAAAATAAAACCAAATTTGTAAGGTTACTTTATCAAATACTACTTTCCTAATTTACATATATGTACAACTCTACATAAGATTTTGTTTACAAAGTGAGTTCCTTTACCAGTAAGTTTTCCTTTTTTTTAATATTGTTATTCATTTATTCACGTGTGTACATTGGGTCATTTCTTCCCCGTCCCCCACCCTCATCCCGCCCCCCCCCCCCCCCCCCCGCTTCCAGGCAGAACCTGTTCTGTGCTTTTCTCCAGTTCCGCTGAAGAATAAAAATAAGCAATAAGAAAGACATAGTGTTTTTGCTAGTTAAGCACAGCTATACATAGAGATTCCTACCATTGCTTTCACGTACAAATGTGTTACAACCTGGGTTGGCTCATCTCTAACTGATCTTTACACTTGTTCCTCATCCCCTTCTCATGTTGACCTCTGTTGCTTTAGGGTTTCTGTATTAGTTCCTCTGGAGTGGGGACATCAAACACTTTCATGTTTTGGGTTTTCTATCTAACCCCATACCTCCCGTATGTGTTCTCCTCTTGTCATATGACCCAAGTCCAACAACATTGCTGTAGTTGCCCTAGATCTAAAGACCACCTATGAGGGAGAATATGCGATTTTTGGTCTTCTGAGTCTGGCTAACCTCACTCAGAATGATGTTCTCCAAATCCATCCATTTACCAGCGAATGATAACATTTCGTTCTTCTTCATGGCTGCATAAAATTCCATTGTGTATAAATACCAAATTTTCTTGATCCATTCATCAGTAGTGGGGCATCTTGGGTGCTTCCATAACTTGGCTATTGTGAATAGTGCTGCAATAAACATGGGTGTGCAGGTGCCTTTGGAGTAACCTGTGTTGCATTCCTTTGGGTATATTCCCTGGAGTGGGATTGCTGGATCATATGGCAGATCTATGTTTAGATTTTTAAGAAGCCTCCAAATTTTTTTCCAGAGTGGTTGCATCAGCTTGCATTTCCACCAGCAGTGTAGGAGGGTTCCTATTTCCCCACATCATCACCAACACCTATTGTTAGTAGTGTTTTAAATTATGGCTATTCTGACAGGGGTGAGGTAGAATTTTAGTGTGGTTTTGATTTGCATTTTGTTTATGACTAGAGATGGTGAGCATTTTTTAAACCCCAATACTGCCAAAATATAAAAATAAAAATAAAACCAAATTTGTGAGGTTACTTTATCAAATAGTACTTTTCTAATTTTACATTTATAACTCTATATAAGATTTTGTTTACAAAGTGAGTTCCTTTACCAGTAAGTTTTCCTTTTTTACAAAAATGATTTTATTAGCATATAATAGTTGTATAGGGGATACATTCTGATATTTCTATATGTGTTTAAAATATATCTTAGCTGGATTTACCCCTTCCATCATTCTTCCCCTTCCCTTCCCCGCTTCTTAAAACAATTTCAACAGGTTTCATCTTCTATTTTCATATATGAATACAAAATATGGCCACCATATACACATTCATTACCCCTTTCCTTGTGCTTACCTCCTCCAACTGGTCCCCACCACCAGAGAAGATTAATTTTTCCCTCCTGCCCTCCATTTTACAAGTTTTCAAACTATTGTTGTAATAAATAAACTGTGTTGTCTTCATTCAATTGTTTTCTGATTTTTAAGATATAATTCACATACCACAATCACAAAGCACTCAAGTCAGTTGCTTCTAGCACACTCACAAAGTTGTGTACACATCACTACTCTCTAATTCCTGTGTATCTCATTTTTTATTATTTAAAAAATAAAAAGCCAGAAGTGCAATTTTCATTGAATAAATATCATTTGATCCTTATGCAGTTCTTTTACAGGAGGTGAAATCCACCATTTTTGAATGATGACAGCAATTGATCAACCAAATAATCAGTTTTCACACAGTTTCAATAACGGCAGCAATTTCCTTGAACTGTTTGTAGAAATTCTAGAGAAAGGGAAAAACATTAATTTTACTTTCTGAAGGTATTTAAGTAGTTTCTTCAATTGTATCTTAATTACCAGAGGCTGTATAACATGTTTTTGCATTTTCATGTTACATCCTCAACTAATAATGGTTGCTATGAGACAAACAGCAGAAATTTGGGGCTTAAAGCAAAAATGCTGTTATAGAATTGAGTAATTTCCTCATGACTAAACTTTTTAAAAAGCACATGAGAAAGTTATTTAAGATCACACCAAAAAGATTTGTTAAATACCCAGCACTATCCTAGACACCAAAGACAAAAACAAAAATTGCAGATTTTCTCTCTCTTTAAATTCATTGACAAGACTATGTTTCAGAGTGTCAGGGGTTGTCTTATTTAAGAGTATAGGTTCAACTCCAATATTGACAGCTTATATGGTAGTTTCTCTGTGATTTAAAAATTAAGCAGATATGGTGGTTCTCCTTGTTTTTCTTTTCTTTTTTTTTGGAGACAGGATCATTATGTAGCACAATTGGTCTTGAACTCACAATCTTCCTGCCTCAGCCTCTGAGTGCAAGGATTACACGTGTGCACCACCTCTCCCAGTTCTACAAACCACCTTTTCAAAAAACTTCAGGTAGAGGGATCAAACAAATTCTTTTTCCCTTTTTGCCTCCTGTAACTGCCAGGAGCTATAAGGCAAATTTGAAATGCAACATCAGCAATCAGAATACCTTATAATGATTTACACGTTTGTATTTTCCTTGTTATTTTGGTCTTAAATGAAACAAGGCATAACTATTTTTTTAAAAAATATGTACTGATGGTCATATTTTAAGCCACCAAAAAGATAGAAATTTAAAAGCTCAAAGAATGTTCCTAAACTCTCAGTCATGCCATGTAACTTAAAGGCTCTGTTTACTTGGATAGCAATAAGCCATGAAAAAACTGCCTTTAGAAGAGTTATCTCTGTGGTGTGTGTTGGTGCACACCTGTAATCCCAGCACTAGGAGGCTGACACAGGAGGATCCTGAGTTTGAGGACCTAGCTCAAAAGCAAACAAAAAGAGTTGTCCCCTAATAAAAATGTAACACACAAACATACCACACAGTTATAATTTTATGTAAATTTACAAATTAAATTTGTATCCAGAATTTTTGTTTGAAAGCAGGGATATCTGTTTTAAAAGAAAGAAATGAATGGAAAGAAATTCCTAAAAATGTAGCTTATAAAGGAAGAAATGAAATGTTATCATAAGGATATATGCAAGGCTTTTCATAAAAGGAAGCCTAAGACCAACATATTTTTAGTTTTACAAAGAATTCACTTTTTAGTTCCATTTCATTCCCTGTGGTTACTTTTCTTATTATAGCACTCAACTTTTTAATATTAACTATTGTTAGAATTCTTATCCAGTCACTGAAGAACTCAAAACAAAAGTAAAACTGTTCAGACCTATTAAATTAATTAATGACAAGACATCTCCTGGCATGTAAAAGAAAATCTGATTTATTGTCCAGACTTCCTTTTTTCCCCTTGAGTACAGAAAATAGGTAAAATGATAATACAAATTAAAAATTCTAAACAATTAAATTATTTAAATCTCCAGCTAATAAAGTTGGTCAATGAGTACAGTTGCTGATTTGCATTTTATAAATATTAATCTAAAAATTCAGGATCAACACCATTCAAGGAGCAGATACATTTAGCTTAACATTCTTTAATTTGACAGTACTGGGGTTTGAACTTGGGGCTTTGCATTTACCAGGTAAGTGCTCTGCCACTGAGCCACACCTCCAGCTAGCCTAACATTCTTGATAATTTACCCTACAGGAGAAAGAATAAAATAGCTAAATGTAAAGTAAATATTCAGCCAAAGAAGATAAGAATTTCCTAAATATACTCACAGAGAACTGCTATAGTGATTAAATAGCACAGTACAAAAATTTAACATCTTATTAAAAATAACTTATCAAATTCCCAAAGCAAAAAAATTTAGATCTTTTGTATTTACTAATATATGTAAAGCACATTAACTTGCAAATAAAAACAATGAAAATTTTTTCTTAAGATTTTACACAGCTTTTTAAGCATTAATTATACTTAAATTTAACGAGTTAAACTACAAACCTGAAACTGAGGAATTGTCATTTCAAAGGACTTGTTCTTTACTTGGCCAGAATGATCTGCCACTTTCAGCATCACAGCAACATAAGGATACTTAAGAGATCTGCAGCTGTCCGAGCTAACTGCCATTCCCAGTTTCCACTGGAAATCTATGAGCTTTAATAAAACAGTACAAAGCAATACATTAGGGATACCGGTGCCTTGAGTGCACAGACTTATTCAATTTTGCTGCTCTCACTTTCAACCTTTATTTCCAATGCTGGTAATAGTAAAATGCTAGGGCAACAATTATCCAATGAAAATAGAGGTAGTAAAGGACTTGAACAGAGTTAGAAAAACAACAGTCATAGTTATAAAAAGTGAAAAAAAACTCCACTAGATGTATAATAAATGGCAGTACTGGTTTTTCTTTCTCTCTCTTTTTTTTTTTTTGAGTAATGGGGTTTGAACTAAGGGCCTTGTGCTTGGTATGCAGGTGCTCTACCATGAGCCAGACCCAGCTCAGTACTGGTTTTTCTTAACAGGCTTAAATTTTGCTCTGGCTCTTCAGGGGACTCCAAATGCTTTGGAGCATTATTTACCTCACTTTCCTGTCCCATATGCCTTTACCAATTCCACACTCCAAAGTCCTAAAATAGAAGATGGATTATGTGATCTTCATAGTTGGTTGAGGCACATGCAGGAACCATTCCAGTTTCTTTCCTCATTACAGTCCTCATGCTCAGTCCTTACATTAGAACAAACAGCGAAGAGGTGACTTTAGGTTTCATCAGTGTTCATGACAGACACATGCCAGAGGATGTGCTATGCAGTTTACATGCATAAATGCCTCAATGAATCACCATAACATTATAGGTTATTATTTTCATTTTGCAGATGACAAAACCCAATTTCAGAGAGCTTAGGTAATGTATACATAGTCACACATTTCTGGAATCAGAATAAAATCCAAAATCTGTTTGACTCCAAAGATTATGCACTGATTGATGACTGGCTGCCTCAATACTTTTTATCTTGTTCCTGTCAATGACTGCTCAGTGTTGCCATGAGTATTGACATGAGTATAAAACAGGATTGGATAAATGCAGCTTTTAATACTGAGTCTAAGTTTGTAGGTAGAACAATTTTATCTGATTTATTTCCAAAGCTGGACAAAAGTCTAGCATATAGCAGACACTCAGACACTGATACCTTTTGTCACCAAACCAATGTTTGCCTTGTTATCTCCCTTCTCTGACAGATCCAAAAAGAGTTACTGGTTTTGTAGTTTGTTCAGTTTTTATGTATTAGGATCAAGTAAAAATTTCCAAACTTCTTACATGCTGGACCAGAAAACTAGAAGTCTATTACTTTTCCCAGCTGGCTTCAAATTTGTAGTCCTCCTGCCTCTGCCTCTCAAGTAGTTGGGATTACAGGCATGCTCCACCATGCCTTAGAAGTCTATTGCTTTTAATGATTTTCTTCACAAAGATTTGAAACATCTTTTCCTAAATTTATTGCAATTACTTTATAATTTCTTAATGTTGTGACACCTTGTTCAAAATTATATTTTTCTTTGTGTCAAACCACATAAAAACAATGAATTGCCTTGCTTATCTCACTATTAATTCTAATACTCTGTTCATAAATTATCTTGGCTTTTTCTGTGTAAGAAATCACACAGATTTCTTGTGAATGACTGCTATGGAAGATAAATATAGCAGGTTGAATGGTCCCAAATACATCCATGTCCTAATCACTGAACTCTGGGAATGTTACCCTAATGTGATAAAGCAGACTTTACAGATTTGACAAAATTAAGGATCTTGAGATGGGAGATTTTCGTGGATTGTCCAGGCAGTCCCGATGTAAGGACAAGTTCTTTACAAATGAATGGCAAGAGAGTCAAAGGAAGGATGGGCTGGAATGATGTGCTTTGAAGGTAAAAGTAGAGGCCACAAATCAAGAAATGAAAGCAGGCTCTATAAGCCTGCTTTTAGAAAAGGCAAGGAAACAGATTTTCCCCTACAGTAGCCTATAAAAGGAACACAGCCACACCAATTCCTTGATCTTAAGACTAGTTTTGTAGTTCTTACCTCCAGAACTGTAAGATAGCATATTTGTGTTACTTTTAAGCCCAAAATGTTCAAATTAAAAAAAAAAACTATAATCTAGTTTAAATTCAGTTCAGGTTCTTTTTACTCAAACATATGACTTACATTCAGGTAGAGGGTTGATTATTAGCTTTCTGAATTCCCCTAACTCCCAGGAATCCTCAAAAGCAAGATCAGATGGAGACAAATGACAAAAAATAGTCAATGCTCACCTCTCTCAGCCCCTGTATTCTCATTATTTCTAACCTCTATCCCTCCTTATATTTTGCATGAGCCTAGGTAACTGCTGACATAAGACACTCTAGATTTAGGACATCTTTATGGAAGAGTGTTACTAATTTATCTAAAACTTGTTTAGTTAATGCAACAGCACAAAATTACCCGAAACAAAGAAACGGGACCAGAATATATTTTAGGGGAAAATTTTTTTGGGGGGGGGACTAGAATATATTTTACAAAGTCAAATTCTTATTTCTAGCATGAAAACATATTGTGAAGGATTTAAAAAGTTACGCTCCATCTTCAAGATAATGTTTTAAAGTTCAAAAAATGTTTTCGGTGCTACCTTCGTAAATTTTAATAAGTTCTCATATACCTATCACATTCTAAAACATTGCTCCTACCTTCGAATAAAGGTCGCTTAACCAAGGAAGAACAATACTCGGTCTGTACTCTGGGCTGGGGTCAGGCGGAGGAGCTGAAGTCACATGGCAGCGACTACCATCTCAAGTGCAAGGGGGAAGAAGCAGTGCATGGCCGCGGCTGACAGTCACTGGCAGGTGGACACAAGGTAGTGAAGTGGGAGAAGAGGGCTAGGCTCACTAAGGTACCATACTCCCTGACAGGAGGCGGGTCCACAGGAGGCTGGTGGGGGGCGGGGCGGGGAGGCCACTCACCTGGTTGGTGACCTGAAACGGAAGCAAAAACACAATTTAGGGAAACATCCTTCCTGCTTCAGAGCCCCGCTGCCCCTTCTTCTTCCCGGGACTTACTTCGGATTTAGCGTCCAGCATTGGCTCGCTAGATGTAGACCCCTCCATGGCAAGAGTCCAGGGTTCCCGCTAGCCACTAAGGCGGACACGCCCCCAGACGTCACTTCCGCTTCCTGCCCCTCACGGTCCGGCCCACGCAGAGAACAATGGGGAGGAAATATAAAAAATAATGTCTGTGTGTCTCTGCGTTTGCCTCAACTAAACATCACTTTTACAGATATACTCAAAAACTGGTAAAGTTTTTTGTGGGAATGTCAAATACTTGATATATTCCTTGAAAAGGGAAATGCTAATTAAATTTAGGACGCCGCCTCCCCCATGTTAGGCTGTAGATGTGGACTCTTCCAGTCTGGGGCCGCAGCTGAGCGTCTACGCAAGCGCAAGCTAGTGACAGCGCGTGTATCAATTGAGCCTAACCAAAGTTGAGTGCTGCTGCACCGCCACACCTCCTGTCGTGTATTTTGTCTTGCGAGGGTGATGCCTGTGGGAATTATAGCTGTCATCACGGAGATTTACTTCACTAGCCTAGCTTTCTGTGAACCTGTGTGAGGCTCTCACCCCGCTGTCACGGTCCTACTCCGCATCCGAGTCTTACTTACAGCAAACCTTCTTCATCTGTTCTTCCCTCTCTCTCTTATTACTCAAGAATCGCACTCTGCATAGAATATCCAGAGTGGTTTTTATCCCTGTCAGTTCTTTATTTTTAAACACTTGGACCTAAAAGCATACATAAAGGCCAACACAGTAGTTGTGGGAGACTTTAACACCCCATATCACAGTGAGATAGGTTCATTCCAAAACAAAAAATCAAATAAGAAATCCAAGACTAAAATATGCAATAGTATCAAATGGACCTAGTAATTCTACAGAACATTTTCATCCAACTTCTACCACAATTACATTCTTCTTAGTAGCCTATGGAACCTTCTCCAAAATTAATCATATCCTAGGCACCAAAGCAAGCCTGCAGCAAAATAAAGAAATTAGAAATATTATACCTGCATACTTCGACCACAATGCCAGTAAAAGTAGAATCAAAACAACAAAAAGTAAAGACAAAAAAACCATGCAAAACAGCTGGAAACTAAATAACTCATTAGCTTAATGGAAGAATGGTATCATCGATGGAAATTAAAAGAGGAAATTAAAAAGTTCCTGGAAGTCAATGAAAATGAACACACAACCTACCAGAAACCATGTGGACACAGCAAAGCAGTCCTGAGGAGAAAGTTTATAGCCTATGAGTGCATATATTAAAAAAGATTTGAAGATCCCAAATCATGACCTAATGATACCATCTCAAACTCCTAGAAAAACAAGAACAAGCAAATCCCAAAACAAATAGAAGAGAGAAATAAAAAATAAGAGCTGGAAATCAACGAAATTAGAAACCAAAAAAACCATTACAAAGAATTAATGAAACAGAAAAGGTTGGTTCTTTGAAAAAATAAAACAAGATCGAAGACCCCTGGCAAACGTCACTAAAATGAGGAGAGAAAAAACCCCAAATTAGTAACATTAGGAATGCAAAAAGGGGAGATAACAACAAACACAAGGAAGTCCAGAAATCCATCAGAGACTACTTTTGAACCCCTATATTCAATAAAATTTGAAAATCTAAAAGAAATGGACAGATTTCTGATCATATGAATTCATCCAGAAATTGAACCAAGAGGAAATAATCACGCTGAATAACCGTATAACACAAAATTGAATTGAAGCAGGCAATCAAGAGTCTCCCCAAAGAAAAGTCCAGGAACCTGATGGATTCTCTGCCTGAATTCTACCAGACCTTAGAAGAAGAACTGGATACCAACCCTCCTTAAAACTGTTCCACAAAATAGATAAAGGAAGAAAAAACTGCCCAAAAACAGCATTTTATGAAGCCAGTATATACACTTATCCCAAAAACCAGGCAAAGACACCTCCAAAAAGGAAACTATAGGCCAATCTCCTTAATTGAACATGATCGCAAAATCAGCTCACAAAGTAATGGCAAACCGAATTCAGCAACACATCAAAAAGATTATTCAGCACGACCAAGTAGGCTTCATCCCAGGGATGCAGGGGTGGTTCAACACATGAAAATCACATAAACGTAATAAACCACAAATTAACAGAAGCAAAGACCAAAAACCCACTTGATATCTCAATAGATGCAGAAAAAGCCTTGATAAGATCCAACATCATTCATGATTAAAAGCTCTAAGAAAAACTAGGAATAGAAGAAAGTTCCTCAACATTATAAAAGCGTATATATGACGAAACTACAGCCAGCATTATCCTTAACGGAAAAAACTGAAAACCATTCCCTCTAAAATCAGAACCAGACAAGGATGCTCACTATTCCACTTCCTATTCAACATAGTACTGGAAGACAAGGATGCCACTATCTCCACTCCTATTCAACATAGTACTGGAATTCCTAGCCAGAGCAATTAGGCAAGAAGAAGGAATAAAAGGAATACAAATAGGTAAAGAAACTGTCAAAATATCCTATTTGCAGACGACATGATCCTATACCTTAAAGACCCAAAAAACTCTACTCAGAAGCTTCTAGACATCATCAATAGCTATAGCAAGGTAGCAGGATATAAAATCAACATAGAAAAATCATTAGCATTTCTATACACTAACAATGAGCAAACTGAAAAAGAATGTATGAAAACAATTCCATTTACAATAGCCTAAAAAAATCAAATACCTAGGTGTAAACCTAACAAAAGATGTGAAAGACCTCTACAAGGAAAACTATACACTTCTGAAGAAAGAGATTGAGGAAGACTATAGAAAGTGGAGAGATCTCCCATGCTCATGGATTGGTAGAATCAACTGGCACAAAAAAACAGACATGAAGACCAGTGGAACAGAATAGAAGACCCAGATATGAAGCCACACAACTATAAGCAACTTATCTTTGGACAAAGGAGCTAAAATATATGACTGGAGAAATAGCAGCCTCTTCAACAAACGCTGGGAAAACTGGTTAGCAGTCTGCAAACTAAACTAGATCCATGTATATCACCTATACCAAGATTAACTCAAAATGGATTCAAGACTCTTAATATTCAGACCCCAAACTTAAGTTGATACAAGAAAAGAGTAGTGAAATACTCTGGAGTTAGTAGGTTAGGTAAAACTTTCTCAATGAACCCAGCAGCACAGCAACTAAGAGATAGCATAGATAAATGGGACCTCATAAAACTAAAAAGCCTGTTCATCAAGAAATGGTCTCTAAACTGAAGAGAACACCCACAGAGTGGGAGAAAATATTTGCCATTTACATCAGACAAAGGACTGATAACCAGAATATACGGAACTTAAAAAACTAAATTCTCCCAAACTAATGACAATAAAGAAATGGGCATGTGAACTAAACAGAACTTTCTCAAAAGAAGAAATTCAAATGGCCAGAAAACACATGAAAAAATGCTCACCATCTCTAGCAATAAGGAAATGCAAATTAAAACCACACTAAGATTCCACCTCACCCCTGTAGAATAGCCATCATCAGCAACACCACCAACAACAGGTGTTGGCGAGGATGCGGGGAAAAGGAACCCTCTTACACTGTTGGTGGGAATGTAACTAGTACAACCACTCTGGAAAAAATTTGGAGGCTACTTAAAAAGCTGGACATCGATCTACCATTTGATCCAGCAATACCACTCTTGGGGATATACCCAAAAGACTGTTACTCCAGAGGCACCTGCACATCCATGTTTATTGCGCACTATTCACAATAGCCAAGTTATAAACAGCCAAGATGCCCCACACTGATGAATGGATTAAGAAAATGTGGTATCTATACACAATGGAATTCTATGCAGCCATGAAGAAGAACGAAATGTTATCATTCGCTGGTAAATGGATGGAATTGGAGAACATCATTCTGAGTGAGGTTAGCCTGGCCCAAAAGACCAAAAATCGTATGTTCTCCTCATATGTGGACATTAGATCAAGGGCAAACACAACAGGGGATTGGACTATGAGCACATGATAAAAGCGAGAGCACACAAGGAGGGTGAGGATAGGTAAGACACCTAAAAAACTAGCTTAGCATTTGTTGCCCTTAACGCAGAGAAACTAAAGCAGATACCTTAAAGCAACTGAGGCCAATAGGAAAAGGACCAGGTACTAGAAGAAAAGGTTAGATCAAAAAGAATTAACCTAGAAGGTAACACCCACGCACAGGAAATCAATGTTGGTCAACTCCCTGTATAGCTTCTTATCTCACCAAGCAAAAACCTTGTTCCTTCCTATTATTGCTATACTCTCTGTACAACAAAATTAGAAATAGCAAAAAGTTTCTGCTGGTATTGAAGGGGGAGGGGAGTGGCGATAGGTGGTAAGGGAGGGCGGTGGGGAGGGGGGAGATGAACCAAGCCTGTATGCACATATGAATAATAAAGAAAAAGGAAAAGAAAAAATTAAAAACTTGGAATCTGGTTTCAGAAAAATTTAAATATTCAAGTGGCAATTCCCTATTCTCTTCATCTTAGAACTCACCAAAGTCACTGTTTTACACAATTGCTTTATCACGTCCTACAAATATAGTAATGAGAATAACTTCATCCTAAATACTTAAGCATGTATTTCCTAAGAATAAAAGCTTTCTCCTAACTTCAGGACAATTTAACACTGGATGTAAGTAGAATTATCTAAACATGGACCATAATTCAAATATTCCAGTTGTTTCACAGATATTCTTACAGTATTACCTACCCCACCCACAAAAAAGCATCTGATTGAGTGTTGATTAGTTTTAATTCTCTTTAGTCTCACCTAGAACGTGCACTGATAAGGTGATGACAGAGAAAAATGTTCCTTTGGAGAGGAATCTCTTTCACGGGGGACTCATCTTAAGTGTTTGCGGAATTCGTTCTGTCGCAGCTCTTGTTTTCTGGGGGGCTGATTTTATGTGGCAATTCTCAGGCTCTAGAGACCATCCACATCACTTTACTTAGTGCTCCTCCATCCATCTTCAAAATCAGCAATAGTAAGACAGCTCCTTTGTTATTGCTCTCTTGGAGTTCTCATTCCTTCTTTTACCACATTTCCCGTCTGACTG